AACGACATAGAGACGAAAAGTGACAAATTCATCCACGAATGTGCCCCCATACCCACCATGGAGCCACAATTAGAGGCAGGACACCCAACAGGAAGCTATCGCTGATCATGCCGGGGCCCCCTAGGGGTGCGTCGTGAGTATACGCCCCACAAACGCCACCTTAAGAACCGTCAGTCCGTCGAGATCGGGTTCAGCGACGAAAGGGGGATTGACAATAAAAGGTTCCCCTCGCTCGAGACGTTGGGTACTACAGTTCTACGGGTGCAAGAGTATGCCTCCTCAAGCACCAAAAAATAGAAGAAGTCCAAAGAAATAATCCAAAACAAGCAAAAGGTCGGCAGGAAACGACAAGCAGATAGGAGAAGAGGGGGGAGAAAAACGAAACATAAGGAAAAGGAAAAGCGATCCGGCACAATTGGAGAAGACAGCAGCAGGAGTGCAAGGCCAGAAAAGGACAGAGGACTGCCCAACGGAGCATCACACTCCGGCAGCCGTCCACCAAGCCCCCTCACGACGCCAACGGGCCGGAAGGGGAGGGGGGAGATATTACAAAATGGTGTTCATTAATTAACCATATCCATTTCGGTTAGCACCGAAACGCTCACGATGGAGCATTTCGTGAAGATATGATTGTATGTGTGCAAGTTGTGTATAATTGTATTTTGTGCAAGTTGCATATTGATTGTGAAAGTTATGTGATTGTATCTGTGCAAGTGTGAATGCAATTTGTAAAATTATATTTGTTGAAAATGTACATATATATGATGTGTGATTTTTAGTGAAAGTGTATTTGATTTTTGCCAGTGTATATGCAGTTTGTAGAGCAGTGTTTTACATGTGTGTGAGTTTGTGCAGGAATGTAAGCATTTTTTAGAAAGTGTGATTGACTTGTGCATATAATGTTGTTTTTGTTAAAAGTGTCTTTGTGTGTAAATGTGATTTTTTTAAAGTGCATTTGATTTGTAATAGTGTTTAAAAGTTTTGCAAAGTAGTGTTTACATGTTTCAGAGTTTGTTAAAATGTGTTTGACTTATATGTGATTTATTTTTTTGTGATCTGTATAAATAAAAATGGAAATGTTCTTGTGTGCATAACCGCTAATCTCTGAAAGTTCTGCACCAAGTGCTTTGAAATTTTAACACAATGTCTAGGTGGGCGTCGGTTCAGGATCTTTGTTTTCTCTACTGAGATGACTAAGCCTAGTTCCTGACATGTGAGCAATACAGAGTTCAAAACATTTTGGGTGTTGAGATACCCATTGATGTGGATCAGTATATCATCCGCATAGTAATTGATGTGTTCGTTGAGCCTCCTAGTTACTGAGTTTAGAAGTGCATTGATTAACACATTGAACAGAGTAGGACTGAGGACACCTCCCTGTGGAGTGGCAAGTTTAATATCTCTCATTACACTCCTATGCCCTTGGAACAGTACAGATGACTTCCTGTTGGATAGATAGCCTCTTATCCACCATAGTAACAATCCGCCAACATTCATTTTCAGAAAGTTCGCTCAAAATGGCGTGTCTGTTAAGATCTAGGAAAGTGGTATTTAACATATCAGTATACAGGGTGAGGAAGGCGGTAATACAGTGAAGCTTTCCATGAGTGAAGCCATATATCTGGGTAGACAACAAGTTACTAATTCTGTAAAGGAGACGGTTAAGAACCCATCCTCTCAAGACACTTACAGACAAAACTAGTGAGGGAGACTGGGCAAAAAGCACTCTGCTGGTTAGGTTTAGGAATGGGTATTCCTAAATTCCTTAGGCTGTTGGTCCATGACTTTGGGAGCTCCCCAGTTACATAGCTGGTATTATACAATTCAAGCAAGAGATTCCCTGGAACTAACAAAAGCATACACAGTATGCCGTTAGTAACTCCATCCTCCCCGTGTGATGTAGCTTTTCCTTTATGTAGAGCAGAGTCTAGTTCGTATATAGTAAAAAGCATGTCACAGTCATCCACTTGATGAAACATGAAGTCAAGTAGCCCTGTTCTAGCAGCATATCTATTATTTAGTTCATTATGTGTGGGTAGAGGAAGACTGTAAAAGCTGGAAGTTGTGGCCCAAGCATCAACAAGCTCATTTGCTCTGTGCAGAGGATTAGGGTGCGAGTCCCCTGCAGCATTTTTCCCCTTTGATCTTGTTGATATCCATCCATGCCCGGCTTAGTGGCGGGTTAGAATTGAGGCCACTGACAAAAGTTTCGCAATCTGTCTGCCTCAGCTCTACTGTACGTTCTTTAGCCTCAGCCAGAGCCGTTTGAAAGAGCCTAAGCATTTCATCAGTGTGGAGTCCATCCATAAGCTTGTCCAATTCTTCTAGCAGTGCGTTTTAGTGCATGTAATTTGAAATCAATATAATAGGCATAATTGCTATGACCAATGTAATTTGGGTTACGTGACCTGGACGATGGATCAAATGATTCTATAAACTGTTCGATAGTACCTTTGAGTTTATTGTTAAAATCTTCAACTGAAGAAAGCTCAAAGGAACTGAACCATTCTGACACATGAGCAACACATGAGTCTCATTGATCGATGGGCACAGCCAGTCTCCGCTTGAACACTCCGGTGAGGAGGATAGAGCTTCCGATGCTTACAATGGCTAATATGGGCAGATGATCAGACGCCATATCTGGCACTATTGACGAGGCGCAGACGGTGTGGGAGACGTTGACACCGAGACAGAGATCAAGAATACCTCCGCAGATATGCGTCGGTTCAAAGTCACCCACAATCTGTGCATCATCGTGACTACCTAATAGTGACACCAGTTGGTTGCCGTTACGATTACTGAACTGCCAATTACCAATATTTTTTAGCCTAGCGTTATATTCACCTATAATGATGGTAGGCTCAGTCTGAATGCAGATAGGAAGGTCAGTATATTTAAGCTCTACCCAACGTAGATAAGCACCTCCAAAGGATACCTGATCAACTAGGCTGTGACTCATACGTCAGACTGCGAGCAGCCGCGTCCAACTTCCTGGTTGATCAGTCCAGCAACCAGGAGGCCTGGTCGACGACCGGGCCGCGGGGACGCCAAGCCCCGGAAGCACCTCAAGGTAACCTCAAGGGAACGTCTGGGGCACGGAGAGTCGCTAGTGAATATCCGTTGATTCTGTCCAGCTTGCAACGATGAGGTCATTCTTATTGCGGTGGGGATTTTCCACATTGTCGGACTGGGAACATTCTGGGTCAATACACCTGTTAACACCAAAGAAGACGATTTTCTCTTTCACTGAATCATCACATGGTGCTTGCAATATTTTTATCCCAGCGTATTCCTTGGTCAACACGTTAACAAATGCATCATCATTCGTGACAAAGACATGATTGTCTTCAGCTCTGTTTATCTTCGTGCGTTTAGTGCGATGGGCTTTTAAAGCTACAGAAAACCATTGAAATCTGTCAGCAAGACCAGTGCCAAGAGGGAAAATCAAGCGGGTTAGTCGAGTTCTTTCCCGTTGTTGTCGTCGTTTTTTCCTTCTTGCTCACCACCTCTTGGAATACAGCCCCATTTCTTCTTGGCTCTCTCTTGCCTGGAGAGAGACTTGTGTAACAGCAGTAAGTGAGTCAGGAATAATCTAGGCTTCTGAATGCACATCTGGCAGCAGTGGCGATTCACCTGGGACAAGGGCGGTTGCCATGATTATTTTTAATTAATTAAATTAATCTTGTTATTTATGCAGATTATTAATATCATAGTGGTTATAAGAAAGCATGTCCGTCGATGAAACTGCTTGCTGGGTAGAGAGCTGCAGATTATCATGCAGCATCACTTACATTGAACAGCCAATAGCACGTTGTTCACCGTTAGCCCCAGGAGAGGTTGGAGAAGATTGGGCCCCAGGGTCACGGGAGGGCACCGACCTCTTTAGCTGCTTTAGAACCAAGTACACCAGCACAACTGCTTATGGTTCACCTTCACGACAACATTTCAATTTAAAGCCAACACACCACGCTCAAACGTCAACAACACTGCACACGCACAAGATTAACGAATGTAGAAGTGGGTCAAGTTAAAGCATGACACGAAGTATGTACATTGAACTGAGGCTACATTGTTCCAAGGTCACCGGACGAAGAACAAGGCAATCACGGCTCTGTAGGTAGTAGGGCGCAAGAGTTATTTTCGTGTGCCCGACACACGTGTGGTATAGGTCTAATGGCGAGTGAGGAGGGAAGGCCTGAGGGTTGTCCCCTCAGCACCACCTTCCCAAGACGGCTGCATGGTCCACCTCCTTCTCCGTCAAAGGGGACTTCTTATTTACCAGTGCAGATGATGACCATTTCTCAGACACACCTATTCTGTATGAGTGGCCAAGGTGTATATCATCACTACTAGGTTGCATAATTCCTTAGAGCCGACTGTACCCATTTTGTAGTAAATCCATGTGGGAGGAGGCCTCCTGCGACCGTTCTTTCCCGAGGCACAGAGAGGACTGTAATTTTACGAATGGTGCAACATAAACAACAAACACCCTGGTTTATCCCTTACAATGTTAAGTAATTATAATTTCTTCTCAAAGGCGTGATAACACATCTGTAAATCTCGTCCAAACCATATGCTCAGATATTGACAAAGCACTTAGTAGAGTGCCAAAGATTTGGTGTAAATCTGTACATAAATACACAAATACATATGTGTTTTATCCTATATTATTATTATTATTATTATTATTATTATTATTATTATAAATTTTATTATTATTTTGAATAATAATTATAATAATAATTTTATTATTATTCATAACATTTATTATTTAATTATGTTCATGTAATAAGTGTATGAGGTTCGATGAAGAGTTGGAAGCTTCAAGAACAGGTCAAGGAGCTGAATGTTTGAGACTTTTGCTTTTTGGAATGATATAATGTGTAGTTCAGATTTGTCTTCACTTCGTAAGTGTTGAATTTTCCGACATCTTCTCAACTATTGGGACACTAACTACAGTAATTAGGGTTTGAGTTCTGTAAAAGTAAAGTCATGTAAACCTGGAGCTCGTGGAAGACTGGAAAGTAGAGGTAGGCAGCTGCAGGCATGACCAGCATGTAGGAGAATATAATAAGCCAGTAGATGAACCCGAACTGATAGACCTCCGATGGCGTCCCCAACAGCGTGATGGCCGACATGAAACTACAAGAGAGGGAAAACATTTGTTACTGTTATATCACACAAATATGAAACTTTTTCTTATCTTCTCATCAAAACTCATTTAAATATCTTAAATTTAAAATTTGTTATAAATGTAATTAATAATCAAATACTAGAAGCTATTCATTGCTTATATTCACAAAATTATTCTGTAACCTCGTGTATGTCATTCATTCATGAATATATATAAGAAACAATACGTGTCAAACCCAGCCATTTCAATGCTTTCATAATGTACAACTGAATTCCAGAAATTTGCATTCCTGTAACTATTTAACTGCAAGTTGCATCTTTTGGCAAATAAGGGTTATAGTCATCAAAACATGACTAACACCCAATAACATATTAACTTTGTTGCACAAGTTGCATCTTGTGTGTACTCATCCATTTCCACTCAAGTAAATTAATTAGACTAAATATTTAAAATTATTAAAATAAAATGTTTGCAAACAGTCGATATATATTACGTGATTATACTGTGTATATCTTCAGCTTCCTTCAGTTTAATGTACGACTAATTTTTACATTATTTAGTTATGAAAATTATCTATTTTCTCCGCAAAGCTGTTTGTTTAATGACGTTCTACATTCTTTCGTGTTACAGTAAGATATAATGTGCCGGTCGGTGTTTATTTATGTCATTAAAATTATCATGGGTAGTTTTCGGAATACTTATGTGCTGTTTGGTTAATACCCTGAACCCTCTTCAAGCCACTTACATGATTCAATTATATCAATACTATAAGAGATAATGACTGTATGTCTGTTCAAAGAATGACTGTATGTCTGTCAAGAAACTATTTTTTTTGTCAAAAATCTATATCATCTGATATATATATTTTTTTACAAAATCTCACAACATTTGGAATCACACTCATAAAAATATAACTCGAATACGTTCATAAATGGGGTCATAAGGGGTGGGTCCATTCACTACAATACTGCTCATTTGCTTTTCTATGATACATCTTGGTTTGTTGGATCATAGCAACGCTTTTCATTGGAAGAATTTTTATTAGAATTTTGAAGGTGGGCTCCTCCCTCAGTAGAGGACAAGTGAGGTTTGAGCGTGGATGATTACTTCCTTTATCGAAAATCATGCATTTTAAATGTAGTCACCTTAGGACTTCTCCTGCTTTGCAGCCCAAGAGTTTTCATTATTTTGGCGTTGTGAGATGGCAAACATCTCATTAAATAGATTTGTTTTTATATTTGTTATTTATATATACAGGAGAATTTACATTCTTGAACAGACACTAGCATACATAGCTCTTCAGGCAAGTCCTTAATCCTAATATTCTTCGGAATACGACCCGCCAAATCGTTTAACAACCAGGTACCCATTTTACTGTTGGGTAAACAGAGGCTAAGGTTAAGAATTGACGCACAGTAAATCCTCCTTGACCAGGATACGAATCCGGGACAAAGCGCTCGCGAATGATGAGCGCCAGATGAGCGTCTTACCACTACGCTACGGGAACTGCGTGGTGATTAACTTAGTTAAAGTAACAACGTTAAGGTCAACGTGTCACGGTTAATGTGACAAAATTAACTTTGCAAGGAGCCAGGCATTTCAGGATTCGGTGAACACCATCATGAGAGTCAGTGTCGTCAATCCTCCCTTCCATTTACTGCAGGTCAGCACCCTTCTAACCAAAGACCTTGTCAATGGCCTTTGAACTATGATGATGTCAGTCTCTCAACAGTCAATCAAATATTGTACAGATTGTTGACCAGACCACACACTAGAAATTGAAGGGACGACGACGTTTCGGTCCGTCCTGGACCATTCTCAAGTCGATTGTGATGAGGAGGTAGGGACAGGCAATAAATAGGCAAGAGAGAGCTGAGGAGGAAAGTCAGGTGTAGGGGATAGTAGTAATGAGAACTGCAGCAGGCCTGCAGCCTGCTTGATCTCATTAGTTCCTTTGACAGGTTTGTCAATTCTAACTCTAGTACTCTTTCGGACCTGTCTGCCTTTAGAGGGGCCCTTATCCCCGTTCTTGACAGCTTGTTTTTTAAAAATAACCACCTTCCTCGTCGCTTCCAGCTTGCCCTTGCCTCCCTGAAATCTAACAACTCTATTCTTATCCTTCCTTCCGACAAAAGCAATTCGGTGGTTGTCCTTGACCGTGAGGACTACCTCCGAAAAGCAGATGTCTTGCTCTCTGACTCTCGCACTTATGCTCCTCTGACTTCTAACCCTTTGGATCGCCTCAAAACTTCCTTTAACCGCAAACTAAGACAGCTCTCTAGTCTTTGCCCTCCTGACTTTGATCTCATTAAACGTTTCCGTGTCATCTGCCCTTCTCTTCCTTATTTCTATGGTCTTCCTAAGACTCATAAACCTGGTGTTCCTCTTCGTCCTATCATTTCTTCACGGGGCTCTGTCAGCTATCCTCTTGCCTCCTGGCTCGCTAAAACCCTGACACCTTACCTTGGCACTTTTTCCCCTGCCCACCTTCGTCACTCTCAGGACTTCATAGAAAGACTGCGCCTGCAACCCTCTTGTAAGATGCTTAGTCTTGTTGTCGACTCTCTGTTCACTAATGTTCCGCTCGATGACGTTCTCTCTTTCCTCAGACAGAAGGCGTCAGAGGGCCTCCTTCCTCTCCCACTTCCCACTGACGTTTTCCTCGATCTCATTAGACTCTGTGTTGAATCTAACTCTTTCTCTTTCAACGGTAAATATTACACTCAAACTTCCGGCGTCGCTATGGGTTCCCCTCTCTCCCCTGTTCTTGCTAATTTCTACATGGAATACTTCGAAACTGTTCTTCTTCCTTCTATTGATACTCGTCCCTCTCTCTGGCTTCGATATGTTGATGACATTTTTGCTTTATGGCCTCATGACCTTAATCTTTTCCAGCCTTTCCTCGCCTCTCTTAACAATCTGGCTCCTTCTATCCATTTCAAAGTTGAGTGGGAATCTAATTCCCTCCTTCCTTTTCTTGATGTTCATGTTCACAGCTCTGTGTCTGGGTTCTCTTTCTCTGTCTACCGTAAACCCATGCATAGTGGCATGTACATTCACTTCTTTTCCTACCATCCTTCTTCTGTTAAGAAAAGTGTCCTCGTCTCTCTCTTCCTCCGCGCTCTACGCATCAGCGACCCTCAGTTTCTTGATTCTGAAATTGCCTTTATCTATAAATCATTCTCTCGCCTTGGTTATCCTTTGCATTTCATTAACTGTGCCCACTCTCAAGCTAAACGAAATTTCTTTCATCCTAAACCTGCTTCCAACACTAGTAGCACTGTACTATGCCTTCCCTTCATATCTGAACTCAAAACTTTTACCAATACCTTTCGTCCTCTTGACATTAAACTCGCCTTTCGACAAACGAACACACTTCGTAGCAATCTAGTTCACACTGCTCCTCCTGCTTCTAATGCTGCTGGTGTCTACTCTATTTCCAGTTCATCTTGTCCTCTCCAATACTTTGGCGAAACTGGCCGTACACTGAATGACAGACTTAAAGAACACAAGAGAAGTGTTAAGTCTGCAGACACTAACAATGTTCTCTTCTGCCATGTGAGGGATTCTAATCATCCCATTGATTGGTCTTCCTCCAAAATAATCTTTCCTGCCTCTACTCTACACAGACGCCGTCTTGTAGAATCGGCTCTTATAAACAATGTACCCAACATGAACTTGAGTCCTGGCTTTGTTGCTGTGGACTCTTCCCTTTCACAGTATATACTCAAATGCTCTAATCTTTCTAACAAACGTGACTTAACATAAGCTTTCCCCCTTCCATTTCTTTCTTTCTCTTTCCTTTTCTTTCTCTCTTCTCCCTTTTTCTGTTCATTGTCTTCTCCTACGCTCCCTTGCTACCCTCTTCTTTTTTCCTATTACTATCTCCTTCGGTGGTTATAATAGGAGCTGCCTCGTATGGGCCAATAGGCCTGCTGCAGTTCTCATTACTACTATCCCCTACACCTGACTTTCCTCCTCAGCTCTCTCTTGCCTATTTATTGCCTGTCCCTACCTCCTCATCACAATCGACTTGAGAATGGTCCAGGACGGACCGAAACGTCGTCGTCCCTTCAATTTCTAGTGTGTGGTCTGGTCAACATATTTCAGCTACGTTATTGTGACTCATCGCCTGCATTGTACAGATTCTTGAGCCTACTGGGCTCTATCAAATGTACATTTGAAACTGTGTATGGAGTGTGAGCCGTTTTCAGGGTTGAATATGTATATATCGGGCAAAACCATGTACATATATTTATTTCTACCATCCAGGATCTCCTAGTTCCTATTTTTCTCTGAATGTAGGTAAGTGCTTATTCGACCAAAGACGAACAGTAGATTTTTCCTGACCTTGAATATATATAAATATATAAAGTGTTGTCGTATAAAGTGCCAGATACCCATAACACCATATGTTCTTCTAGTGGCCACAGATTTAATTGAGGTTGAACCTGCTGTTCGACAGAGACCGTCTTAAGGTTAACTCAGAAGTGAACGCCAGGGAAAGCTGATAGGCATAGATCATTGGGTGTAGTAAAAGACTCCTCCCTCAAAGGGCGGAGGTAATTACAATGATACAAAAGGAATCTTGTTCTGGACTCGCTATTTCTCAAGACCAACCAAGGTTACTGCCTACCTGAAGTCAAGACAGATAGAACCATATCCGTTAAGCAACCTGTCATCTCAAATAATACATCGCATTTTGACGAATTAATCCCTAAGAGTCGAAATGTAATATGCTATAAATAACAGCGGTTCGTGAAAATGGCAGACTGCCCTATTTTGTCTTCGTGGGTCCTAGGTTAAATTTGGTTTAGGGAATTAAGTTCATCATTTTTTAACGCTGTGACAACTCAAGAAGATGGGCTGCATTGAAAGAGCAGTTTTGTCTTCATTTACATATCATTCAACGAGGACGGATATCCATAGACAACCTAATGTAAAAATGTTTGTTAAAATAAAGGTTTCCTAAATCATCATATCCTTGAAATCGAATTCAGGGACTCATTTGATTCATATGATTCGTATAAAATACCTCCCAAACCTCAGATAACAGCCACGACTCTAATAAAGTGAGGCTTTGAGAAGCTGCAAGTCAATGAGACGCTGGGGATGAGGACACTATGAAAGAGGCTGAAATGCTAAGACGAGTAATCCTAGTTGATTCTATGGAACTTTGACATTTTATTCATAGGAAGCATCTGTATCATGGAGTAATTTGGCGCTGTTTCAGTGAAAATTTGGCTCTCTTACGCATAAAATCAGTAAGTAGAGTTGTAATGTATATTTACCTGGCGATGAGAGACATGGCCACAGGGAAGGTGGTCATGGACTTGCCAGCGACGAGGAAATCCTTCGTGTCCTGCTTCTTGCCGAAACATCCGTAGAAAATACCGATGAAGGCCGATACTCCCAGCATGAGACCGAACACCGTGTAGTCGATCCATGTGAAGCGATCTGCGAGTTCAGTCACGCTGACCGTCATCGTGATAGCAGAGGTAAAGTTCAGCTGCTAGTGAATAACGAAAGTTACTCAAGTAGGTGAAGAGGTTCTACTGTTGAGAGTTGTTCATGCGTGCCTGAAGAAAGTGACTCCGGCAAGACACACAACTGCTAGCTGAGGTTGTTAAACACCTGTTAGGAAGACAACATCAATTAATCTACAACTGTGATACTGAACATAGTTTAATTTGTCTAGTTCTTAGTGTCCATTTTTTTGGCGTTTTTCAACGCAAATTTTGCAATACAAAAGCTTGTAAGAAAAATCTTTACGCAAACATGGATTTTCTCTCTCTCTCTCTCTCTCTCTCTCTCTCTCTCTCTCTCTCTCTCTCTCTCTCTCTCTCTCTCTCTCTCTCTCTCTCTCTCTCTCTCTCTCACTCTCTCTCGCTCTCTCACTCTCTCTCGCTCTCTCTCCCTCTCTCTCTCTCTCTCTCTCTCTCTCTCTCTCTCTCTCTCTCTCTCTCTCTCTCTCTCTCTCTCTCTCTCTCTCTCTCTCTCTCTCTCTCTCTCTCTCTCTCTCTCTCTCTCTCTCTCTCTCTCTCTCTCTCTCTGTTCGCAACACAAATGCGAACGAGCCTGAATGGTCCCCAGGACAATATGCAACTGAAAACTTCTGGGGTGTGAGTTTCTTTGGGGCACACGTGAGGAACACAAATGCGAACAAGCCTGAATGGTCCCCAGGACAATATGCAACTGAAAACTTCTGGGGTGTGAGTTTTCAGTTGCATATGGTCCTGGGGACCATTCAGGCTTGTTCGCATTTGTGTTCCTCACGTGTGCCCCAAAGAATGAGGTGATTTGGTAAAATGCTATGCCCAAGATTACTATCCGAGTGCCGGCGGTGGGGTGGTTCAAATAGCCTCGGCTATTTGAACCATCATATATATATATACATGTATATATATATATATATATATATATATATATATATATATACTATATACTATATATATATATATATATATATATATATATATATATATATATATATATATATATATATATATATATATATATATATATATATATATATATATATATATATATATATATATATATATATATATATATATATATATATATATATATATATATATATATATATATATATATATATATATATATATATATATCTGCTTGAAGCAGTCAAAGCGACGTCCACCAGGACCTTGCCCCACATCCCCAAGGCTGCCCATCCCCAAGCAGCAGCCAAACTCACTAGTCTGCTGACAAAGGTCAACAATGCTCCCAGAACCTCTGGATCGTGGCACAATCTCCTTCTATTTGGGAATGCATGCCTAGCATTACCGCCCAGGAGAGACAAGTCATTAGCAACCTCTGTAATCAGGGCACTTAATGAATTCCTCAGAGCAGACAACCTGGTCCGCCTCCCCCCTCGTGCCAAGAACACCAACCGCAGGACGACCAACAATAACTCATCTGAGAACCACAAAATGAGAGCACAGATCACCAGGAAAATAGAAGAGGGCAATACCACAGGTGCCATCAGAATCATGACCAGCGATGACACTATTGCCCCCAGGAACGCCACGACAGCAGAGGCTCTTCAAGACAAACACCCACCCAGAGCCCCCGACAGCAGCAGGGATCCCCAGGAATACAATGCTGGCATAGAACCCTTGACTGTTCGAGAATCTGAGGTGTACAAAGCAGCCATGTCTTTCCCAACAGGTTCAGCAGGGGGCTTTGCAGGCCTAAGACCCCAGCACATCAAACAAATGCTGAACTCGGTGCTTGGAGATGCTGCAAAGAACCTTCTAGTGGAACTTTCCAGACATGTGTTTGGCTGGCGGCATCCCTGAGGACATCAGGCCTGTCTTTTATGGAGCAGCACTCTGTGCTCTAAAGAAGAAGGATAGGGGTATCAGGCCCATTGCCGTTGGCAACACCCTCCGACGCCTTGTAGCTAAGGTTGCAGTCAGATCTATCAGCCAGGAAGCAGCCATCTTGCTGAAACCTCATCAGCTCGGGTTTGGGATTCCCCTAGGCTGTGAAGCTGCAGCACATGCAGCGCAGGCTTACATTGCTGATTTCCCGGACCAGAAGGCACTAGTAAAGCTTGACTTCAAAAATGCCTTCAATCAAGTCAGACGAGACGCTGTCCTCAGGGCTGTACACAACCATTTCCGTCCCCTTTACTCATTCATCCGATCGTGCTACAGTGGGGACTCTAAGCTTCTTTTTGGGGAGCATGAAATAAACTCCGGTGAAGGTGTCCAACAAGGTCACCCCTTAGCCCCCCTTCTTTTCTGCCTAGCTATCAAAGAGGTCACTGATAGTCTGACAAGCGAGCTAAACATCTGGTACCTGGATGATGGCACTCTAGCTGGAACTCCGGAAACCATTTTGGAGGATATAAGGAAAATCCAGGAACAGGGAGCAGCCTTAGGCCTCATTCTCAATGCATCCAAATGTGAAATAATCTCCCGCAACCCAGACGTCACTGGGCAAATACAAAATGTTCTTCCAGATATTCTCGTTGTCGAGCCACCGGACTGCACTCTCCTGGGTGCCCCCATTGGCCCACGAGCAATCGAGGAGGTCCTGGCTGCAAAAATCACTGACCTAAAGAGAATGCTGGACAGGATTGACAAGATTGATGCCCATGATGCTCTCTTTCTCCTCACAAGATGCCTGTCTCTACCTAAGTTGACCTACTTTCTGAGATGTTCTCCATCCTACAGCAGCCCTAAGTTAAATGTGTATGACACCCTTCTGAGGTCCATGCTGGTGAAAGTCCTGAACCTGCCATTGGACGACTCTCAGTGGGAGCAAGCAACCCTTCCTGTAAGACTCGGCGGCCTTGGTGTCCGCACAGCTTCCCAAATTGCTCTACCAGCCTTCCTTTCCTCCTCCCATGCATCGCACGACCTCGTCAGAGATATTTTACCTGCAACCCTGAGAGATTCAGCAGGAATACAGGATCCTGCTTTCACTGATTGTTCAAATCAGTGGGATGTTCTTGCAGCCCCAGCAACCATTATAGAGCCAACAAAAAAACACAAACAGTCCGGCTGGGACCACCCTCTAGCTGAAAAAGTAGCTGATGCCATCTTGAGATTATCTTGAGATGATTTCGGGGCTTTTTTAGTGTCCCCGCGGCCCGGTCCTCAACCAGGCCTCCACCCCCAGGAAGCAGCCCGTGACAGCTGACTAACACCCAGGTTCCTAATTTACTGCTAGGTAACAGGGGCATAGGGTGAAAGGAACTCTGCCCATTGTTTCTCGCCGGCGCCTGGGATTGAACCCAGGACCACAGGATCACAAGTCCCGCGTGCTGTCCGCTCGGCCGAACGGCTCCCCATGCTCAGCGTCGCAACATCAGACAAGGAGAAAGCCTGCCTCAGAGCAGTGCAAGCTCCCCATGCAGGAGACTTCCTCCTGGCAGTACCCATGTCAGCAATGGGCACGCGCCTAGATCCAGAATCCCTTCGTGTAGCAGTGGCCTTCCGACTTGGTGCCCCAATTCACACTGAATACAAGTGTATTTGCAACAGGGTGGAAGCAGACCAATACGGACTGCATGGGTTGCATTGCGAAAGCACAAAGGGCTGGCATGCAAGACACAACGAGGTCAATGACATCATCAAGAGAAGCCTCGTCTCAGCTAGGTGCCCAGCGGAGAGAGAACCTCGCATCCTGGGGGATGCGAGGGGGGGGATAAACGTGGGGGCCTCGTAGCCTGGTGGATAGCGCGCAGGACTCGTAATTCTGTGGCGCGGGTTCGATTCCCGCACGAGGCAGAAACAAATGGGCAAAGTTTCTTTCACCCTGAATGCCCCTGTTACCTAGCAGTAAATAGGTACCTGGGAGTTAGTCAGCTGTCACGGGCTGCTTCCTGGGGGTGGAGGCCTGGTCGAGGACCGGGCTGCAGGGACACTAAAGCCCCGAAATCATCTCAAGATAACCTCCTAGGGGTCCAAAACCCGGATTTCCCCGCACTTCGCCCTGATGGCATCACCATATACTCATGGAAGGAGGGTAGACAGTTGGTGTGGTACTACACATGTGTATCCACCCTGGCTGACACCTATGTACATTTCGGAGCTGATCAAGCAGGTGGGGCGGCCAACCACAGGGAAACAGCAAAATCACTCAAGTACAGGCGACTGGAAGGTCAATACCTCTTTGTTCCCACTGGCGTCTGAGACACATGGCTCCTAGGGCAAGAGTGCCTTGGGATTTCTCAAGGAATTGGGTTCCAAGCCCATTGACGTCACCAGAGACCCAAGGGCTTCCAGTTTTTTGTTTCAGCGTCTCAGTGTGGCGATCCAGAGGGAAAATGCTTGCTGCATCCTCGGCTCCTGTCCAGAAGCGGAGGAGCTTCAAGAGATCCATAACCTTTAGGCATTTGTCTTGTATGTTTTGTAACCTTTAAATACACAATACACAATATATATATATATATATATATATATATATATATATATATATATATATATATATATATATATATATATATATATATATATATATATTAAAACTGGAAATGTTCGTTTGTTCAAAATCGCTAATCTCCGAAAGTTCTTCACAGATTGCCTTGAAATTTTCACACAACGTTCCATTCGCATCCCAGCAGGTTTTTATATATATACTATATAGTATATATATAAAATGTTTTTTCGTGACGGGAAAAAACACGTTTTTTTTAAAGCTGTATTTTTCGTCTGTTTTTCATGTGAGGGGAATTTTTGAAACTTCTTTACCGATTGCTTTGAAGTTTTTACACAACATTGCACTCGAAGAGTCGAGTGTTTATATATACCTACTATATACATGCCTCATCTATGACATAAAAAAATAATCCTTTTCTAAAAACAGCACCATCTGTAGGACGTAAGAGCAACACACTAGGTTCCGACAGTTCTTCACCGATTGCTTTAAAATTTTGACACAACGTTCCATTTGAATACATGCGTGTTTTGATGTACCTAATATTTAGATGCCACACCTGTGACAGGT